AACAACAAACAGATAGTAGGTAAATCCTGACTCTCTGTTTGGAGCATGGTCTTTGGAAGAAGGCTTTTCTCAGTCAAACAGCTGCATAAGGTTCTCCTTAAATTTTCCATGGGAATTTACTAATCAGATAATAATTTGTTAGTTACATGTTGACTGTTTCACAGAATTCATGAGTTGCTTAGAAATGTCCAGAGTGTGGAAGAAGTACTTTTTTAGTTTATGATTCCTAACACCTATGATAAAAGCAATATGTTGACAGTGAGGTTCTGGAAACTGATAGTCCAAAAAGTAACATTTCCAAGTCTGTCCCTATCAATTCCAAAATCTATGTGGATATACTCCTGTTATTTTCATTATGAACTGTGGACACAAACCTAATGTTCAGATTTTGTGTTGGCAGCTATATCTGTTTCAGCTGGAAATAACATAATAGTAAAGTTACACTGTATAATTTACGCAATTTGACACAACTTTATTTATTGCTCAATGGTATGGAATCATGGGAGATGTAGTTTGGTGAGGTACCAGCATTCTTTGGCAGAGAGGGCTAAAGACCTTGTATAACTAACATCCTCAAGGCCCCCAAATCTCCAAAATAAGGGGGCGGGGAAAGCAATAATCAAAAATGGTGGCTGAAAATGACATTACATCGCTTCAACTATGCTGAAACATGTTCCTATGTCCCCATCTCCTGTTTGTAGTTCCTCATCCCTGACCTAAGCTGTTATCCAAATGTATTTTCATTATTACTGGCTGGAAACTCTCTCTTATATGTTTTTTTTTTATTTCCCCTTATAGATATAACTAACGTCCTGAAACAGAAACATTCTTTCAACAGTGTGCCAGTTCTAGTCCACCCATACTATGAATCTTTGGGCACAGCTCTATATGGAAAGGAGAGACCACCGATTAAGATGCCAGACTTGAGCAAAGTATCTCTGGATCGCTATCACTGGTGCTTTTTACAGCAGAATCCAGAGTTACGTCGGGAAATAGATCGTGAGATGGCAGGCTGCCACTGTGAGATAGAGTGGCCAACCAGAGACTGCACCTCTCCAGAAATAATAGCACGTCCTTCACCTGCTTTGCTGAAGCAAAAACTATCCTTGATCAAGACTTGGAATGAAGATGTTTCTTCACAGCTCACACTGATCCTATCAAAGCAGAAGGTTGTCAAGTGTGAAGCTGATGCTGTGGTGTGGGAAGCCATAAGGAACAGTGTAACAAAAAAAGATGGAATTCTGATTTTTCCAGATATTACAAACAAAATAGTTGCCCTTGTGGGAACAGCGGAAGCTGTACATATTGCAGAGAAAGACCTAATATCTCTCATTGACAGGGCTAAACAAAAGATGGCAAGAGAGCGCCAAACAGTAGAGCAAGATGTGCCAGTTATTTCTGGAAAGTACATCATTTTAAGGAAGGCTGGGCTGCAGGAGAGAATCCATTTGAAGTATCCAGACCTAAAGATTGCTTATGATAGTTCAAAAGAATGTGTAATCCTGCGTGGTTTAGCTGCAGAAGTCTTTGAAATAAAAAGCAATATCTATGAAAGTTTATCCAACATGGACAAGAAGACTGTGACTGTTCATGCTTACATTCTTCTTTTCTTGCAACATGCCAGTAATGAAGATGTGTCCCAACTCTTATTCTGGAAGAAGAATATTAATGCCTTCTATGAGCTTAAGGATGAGAAAGTTCAGCTGATGGGAGGAACTTCCCTGGATGTTCAACAAGCTGAGAGAGAAATTCAGAAGGATCTCACTTACAAATGTATTGCACTTGAGGACAAAGATGTTGTCAAAATGAAGGTGTGGAAGAAACTGACCCATAATCTGTACAAGGCTTATAATTGTTCAGATGAACCCATCATAATTAATGAGTTGGAGGATCAGGTAGTCATTGCAGGTTATTTCAAAGCAGTGAGTGATGCCAATCAGAAGCTGTCTAATTTTGTTGATACCAACACATATATACAAAAAACCATCAAGACTAAGTTTGCTGTAGTCCCAATGTACATAGAGCAGGAGAAGCAAAATCATTGGCTTAATGTGACGAAACAAGGTGTTAAGATTGATTTTGGCAAACGGGAAAATTGCAGCCTGATTTCCCTTGAAGGACCCAGAGTAGAAGTGCTGAAGGGGCTTGAAATCTTGCAAAAACTCTTGTCGTCTCTGCATTCTTTGCGTGTGGTAGTTGATCGGCCAGGAGCCAAAGCTTTCTTCAAGGAACAAGAGCACATGTATGTTACTAATGCAAAGCAACATTTTAACTGTTTGATAAGGATTCAAGAAGGCATAGAGCATGATGGAGAGGAAGGTGAGGATGAAGAAACCAATAAAGAAAAGGAGCAGCAGTGCTGTGAAGTTAAACTAAGAAATGGCATTGTAGTGAGCGTTTACAGGGGAGACCTGACATGTTTTTCAGTTGATGTTGTGGTCAACGCTTCAAATGAGGAATTGCAGCACATTGGTGGCCTTGCAGATGCTCTCCTAAAAGCAGCTGGCAGGGAGTTACAAAGTGAGTGCAATGACTTGGTGAGGAAGCATGGAAATGTGAAGCCTGGCCATGCAGTGGTCACAAGTGCTTGGAAGCTACCATGTAAGCAGGTGATTCATGCTGTTGGGCCAAGGTGGAGCAGTTATGAAAAAGAAAAATCTATCAAACTGTTGAAGAACGCAGTGAGGGAAAGCTTACGGTTGGCAGAAGCATATAACCACCGCTCAATAGCCATCCCTGCCATCAGTTCAGGAATTTTTGGATTCCCACTCAAAGAGTGTGCCCGTTCTATTGTGACATCAATCAAGGAAACAATTGAAGAGTTTGAGTATGAGTCCTTGAAGAAAATATGCCTAGTGGATTTTAAAGAAGATACTCTCCAGGCATTCTCTGAAGCCTTGAATGAAGTGTTTGCAGATAGAATATCATTATCTAAAATAGACTCTAGACCATCTCCTGCCTCCAGAACAAAGCCACCTCATGCTGAGAGTAGAGCAGGATATCAAGGGGCCATTACTGCTGAAGGTCTGAAGATTTTTATACAGAAAAAGGGAATTGAAGATGCAACAGTGAGTATAATGAAAAGAAGTTACTCTCTCTAGTGGTTTCTGTGACCTTTTTGAAGATGTTGTAGCGCAATATGTTGAAATCCCATTTATTGTCATGTGTAAAACTCTTTCTTCAATCAACCATGTGAATTTAGCTATGCACAAACCACACCCTGACCTGTGGTTTGTTGTTAGCATACAATTTCTGTTTTGTTTAAGCTGCTGCTTGGTCTGGTATCCTATCTCACTACTTCTTAAGCTGTGGGTCCCAACCCCAAATGGGACCCCCTTAGCTCCATGTTGTTGCAACTCAGGGTAGTTTCACCTTGCTCCCAAACACCACCACAACAGAGCTGTAGATTTTGTAGGTTATTGAGAACAAAGCAAAGTCAAAACATAGAATAAGAAATGCAAAAGTTCCACAAGCAGGACAGCGGCCTAAATGCAAAAACACAGTTCCCAAGATCCAAAGGCAAAATCATGAAGCATAATCCTTTAGGCAGTGATCAAACAAGAGTCCATGGTAAAACAGTGAAACACAAGACCAAAAATCCCAGATTCAGAAAGCCAAGGTTAACCCATAGGAGTTTGCATGGAAAGAGCCACGTTGAACTGACAACTCCCGTTTGTCAGCCAGAAGGCTAAATACCCTTTGCAATCATGAACGCATTGCGATGACCCTTGGTCGACTTGGCTTCTCGCTTACCAGCTAAGCGAGAGTTCCACCGGACCCTTAATTCTAAGCGTTCTTGCCTGCTCATTATTTCACTATCTTCAAGGCTCTCTTTATCTTGGTCCAGCTGGACTAGATCACCGTGGGAAGGCTGGGGAGGCGAAGACAACTCCACCTGGCCGTTATCTATCCCACTGACATTCTTTTCCCCTGAGAACTGACTTGATGTTTCCTCTGCTGCACTGTCTGAGACAGGCACAGAAATCTGAATCCCATCATCCTCTTCATCAGGGAACTCTGGCTCACAAGACCCACAGGGTTCAGTTTCAGACTCAGAATCAAACTGAGGCACAACACATGTTAAGGTCCCCCCCCAAAAAATTGGCAATAGTAAAAAATTTCTGAACGCCACCTAGTGGCTGTTTTAGGAACTACAAATGCCAGAATTGGATTCATTCTCTAGTGTGATGAGGTCCTTAGACATTTATATAAATCTGTTATGCAGTGTTTACAGTGGACTCTGCAGAAGATGTTTCAGCTGTGTGCTTCATAAAATAGAAAATCAGCCTGTTTAGCAAGCCTTGCAAATGCTGATTTGTCATCAATAAATGCTTGATTTTAACATTTATTTTATATACCTTTATACCTGGGGTCACGAAAAAAATTCTCATGCTAAAAGGGGGTCCCAAATGGAAAAATCTGAGAAGCCCTTTTCTAACCTGCAAGCATGGCCTGTTCTTGACATTTTCCCTACAGGCTCCACTGCAAATCATGGCTTGACAAAAACCAAAAATAGGGGAGACAGATCACTATTGTGTGTGGCTTAAGCACGCAACCATGGTTTATTTTGACCCACCCT